CGCTTGCCTATAATGTTTGGGAATGCTTAAGAGGAAAGGGCAGTATAATTTTGTCAGGTTCCTTTCCAAATATGCGCCTGGCTGTTTGTTGGGCCTTAATTGCTAACTTGAAGGCAATGTCATACTTAGAGCTAAGCCTGGTTAGGTCCAAGGTAGCCAGGTGGATCCACACCAGGGTGTCTTGCTGCCATATCGCCCCCAAGACACCATTTTTAGTCCAGAGGATCAAGGCCAGTAATGGTTCTGCTGGGTCATGATGTCAGAGTGACGCAGACCAGAGTATATGATCTATCTTATTAAGAAGATCTTTAGCTGGCTGGGTGAGAGGGATCCTTGAAGTTGGTGAATTATGGCCTTCCAGCAGGGAGAACAAGGCCTGAAATTCCAAGTCAGGGACTGGTATAAATTGTTTGAGCCAGTTTATAGGGCCTGTCTGGAATTTACAATGAGGGAATTTAAGGGATTCCGTTTCTGATATAATGGTGACATCAGCCCCTGTGTCTACTAGGCCCTTTATGGCAGTTTCATCTAGGAACAGGGTCATTAGTGGGGAGTGGTTGAGGATCGGGAGAGTTCATGATATCTGTCTCATTTCCCCTCTTGTGGGCGGGGCTGAGGGGCGCCCCGGGGTGGAGTTTAAAGGAGCCGAGTCTGGTTGAGGCTGTGACCTACAGTCTTTAGCCCAATGGAACCCTCTTTTGTATTTGGGGCAGCAAGTCTTGAGGCGGACTGTACCTCTTGGGTAGTGGCTACAAAAGTGGCCAAGCCTCCCACAGTTCCAGCAGCCTTCCCGTGTGCCAAAATGTGTGGGTTTTCCTTGTGACAAAAGAGTCTCCAAGGAGGTGGTCAAAGCCTCAATAGAGCCCGCCCTAGGGTCTAAATCTCTAGTAGTGAGTACCCATTTGTGAATGTTATCATTGCGGACAGGACAGGTACAATAGCATTACGAGTAGGAATGTTTAGTCACTCCCAAGTTAATTGTTTGATAAGCACCTCTCGGGTGGGTCCAGACTCCACCCTCCACTCTACTGTTGAATCAAATTACAGAAAAAGACTTGTGGGTCACGGGGGGAGCAACATTTAAGGGCCTTAAAGGCCAAGTCAGAAACTTGTTGAAAATAGGCATGGCGGGCAATCGTAGACTGGGAGATGGGGTCAGTATATTGTCCACGTTCCGTGAGCATGTCCAACGTAATGTTGAGGCCATATTGAAGATTTAGGCATGCCTGATTTTCAGTCTGATCGTCATAGGGGGCGAGCCAGTTTAGAAAGACTGAGGGTTCTAAGACTGCCTTTAGTAAGCTATTCCAATCATAGTGGGTTTGTAACTGTTAGGACCACTGGCGAAGAACCTGTTTGAAATATGGGGAGTCAGGGCCTGATTGCTCAGCTGTCTTGTGGATAAGAACGAGGTCAGCAAGTGGGGTGGGCAGCCATGGATACTGCGCCACTTCGGGGCCAACGTTAACTGGAAATGCGGACAAAGGTGGGCAAGGCTTTAAGGAGGGCAGCCTAGGAGGGAGGGGCATGGTAGCAGGGGAAGAGGTGGGATGGTTACTGGGTGGGGGAGAGTAACTCCTTCCATGGGTAATGGGGCTGGGGAATTTCTGGGCATGGTAGCTCTAGGAGAGTATCTTGAGATAAAGGTAAAGGAGCTCCTTCCTTATTGGAAGTGGGCACAGAGGCGGCGTCCACCTCCAGGTCTGGGGGTCTGCGGGGTCCGGGGGGTCCGGGGTCGAGGTAATAGCCAGATCTATGCTAGATTGCTCCCGGCAGTGTTTGTTGTGGGTCAAGATGACTTCCTCAGGAGAGGAGGATTTAAGGCTAGCAATGATGGCTAGGAGGATCGGTACAAACAATGTGGGGGAACTGATCCCTGACCCTACCTCCCTTTTTCAGACCAGGAAGAGGACTCGTATCTACGTGTCAGGGTCTCACGTGTTTTCAAGGGAGACCCATGGAGCCAAATTAGTGGCTTCATCCCAAAAGTGTTCAATATCTTTTGGTTTCACTTTCAGCCCTCTGGTTTTAAGGAGCACCTTGAGTGCTGCCGTTTATGGTTCCCTGTATTATGGTGGTAAATTGACCATTGTGGGAGGGTCTCGTGAAGGGGAATTCGCCACAAAAGTAGAAGATGAGGGTGACTACCAAGAGGGCACAAAGTAAGCAAAGAAGCACTGTGAGCCACTCAGATTTAAACTGCCCCAACATGTAAAGGTGTATCGGATCCAAATGTCTTGTGCTCAGTGAGGGACTTCTGGAGGTCGTGACACCTCCAGCTGTATGCTCACATGGTGTCTCTGGGACAGGCAACAGGGTGACCCGAAGCCTGGGCTCTGAGTTCGGGGTGGATCAGCCCTTATGTGGACTCACCGGGATGAGCCAAGAGGGGGGAGGTGCCTACGTGGACTTCGGGACCACGGGGCGGAGTGTGCCTCCCTGACCTAATAAAGTAGTCCAACAATAAAGATGACAGACAAGGTGGAGGGGACAGAGGAGGGGGCTACTTGCTTACCCTCGAGCAGTGGAAGAAACAGACAAAACCAGGGGCCTACTTACCGAATGAACCGAGGTTCTGGGTGTTGCCAACACTGTGGACAGGAGTCCCTGTTCAGGCGCCAGGTGTTGCCGGCTCTCCTCAGGCCAGCTGTGAAGACCCTAACCTGGATCGGGTCCCCTGCCGATTAGGGGGGGCAAGAGGCGTGGAGTCACAACACACAGACTCCGGGAGTTGGGTAGAAGCAAGCACTAGGCAAGGTGCTGCAGGCTCGTTTAATGCAGGAGGGGGCATGCCTTATATTTCCCTTTTCTCCGCCCCCAAGTCCCTTTAGTCAGCATCTAGTTTTCTGATTGGTCCACGCCACACAGTCTGTCAGCAGTCACTGGGCTCGTG